GGAAGCGTAGAGTTAAAACATCGTCGTTCTATTTCAGAGTTGATTTATGTTTTGAGATTTGACTGCGACGGGTGGCAATGTGGCATATTAGTAAGCACCGGATTGTTCACAATTTAATGTCTGTCTTTACAATAAAAGCTTGTAAAATATGTTGCTATTTGAATAAAATATTTTAGCCCGAGCGACTTTTGAGGGTAAAGCCGCAAAAAATCAGTACCGCGACACTACACATAAATTCATGCCATTAATTACACGCGAGTTAATGTAGGCTCTCGTCTTTTTAATAGGCTACAATGTGGAGCACGCTGTATAAAGCAATTGTAAAGTCCATTAGGTGTGCGGAGGCGTACGCGCGTTGCCTAATATTTGTCATTAGGTGCTTTTGTTATTCGTGTCAGAGCATCCCTCGCGTACCGAGCCCGTTCAAATGAGCAAAAATTATTATTAAACAAATTTTTGCTTCACTCCCAGTGAACATCCCCTCTGGTATTTTACAAATGTGCCCTTTGGGTGTAGTATTGTCGCTAATAAAGTCGATGGGGTCATAAAACAATATCAATTTGTCATGTGACCTAAACAGGTGACTCTACTATGAAAGGTGTAATGATTACACACATTAGCGATTTCCCTTTACCTTTTGATATCCCGGTGATATCACAAAAAATATAATATCGATAATAATCGGATTCGACGTCGTTTTGACCGCCAAAGGGCCATGACGAAGGTTTTACAATTCAATTAGCTACACCAGGTGTCGACGGCAGGAAACTTAACCAACACCGCTATGCAACAATTTAATATTCAAAAGAGTTTTAATAGAGCAGATAATAAAATTCATAGTTTGGTTTCAATAAACAGTTCGCCTAACTCACTATTCAAATGTTGAATAATAATACGTATAAAGTAGTTCTATATTGAAATATTACGGGGGATGTAAACTTAACGTCGACAACAATAAATGATGATATTATTTCCACTTTTAACAAATACGCTGTCTTGTTTAAAATAATTATAATATCAGCTAGACTAACAACGTTAATAATGTGAGAAACGTAGTGTGTCTTACATTCAGAGAGATTATGAAAGACAATTAGAGTAACCACTACGCTGTTCTTAATTAAAATGGTTGGATCGTCTTTTAAATGAACAAGTGATGGTAACAAAAGATACAAAATCACTAAAAGTTGAACTTTTTACGATGTCTAAATAGTCGAGACCCTTTAGTATCTTTTAAGACTTATCAGAGAGATATCAGGAAAAGTCTAATCGCTAGTTAATAATAATGCAATATTTACAGAATGGCAGGAATCGGAAAAATAGAGACTGTTTAAAAATAGTAATGTCTAACCGGTCATCCGATATTATGAACTCTCTAAGTAAACGTGATATTATTACAATTATTTACAATGGTGAGGTGAATAAACGTCTTAACTAAAATAATTATTTACAATTACTTTTCATTTATATACACAACCGATATGGATAACAGATATTAAAGAGTTATTTAAAATCATTTCAGTTTAGATGTTCTTGCGTCTGCTTGCAGGCTGAATACATGGGAATCATATTAGCTATAATATCTGCTTTGTAAAACGAGCATGTATTTATGAATTCTAGCAAATAAATTACTGAATTTGAATTTGAATTCTTAGTACATTTTCGGCACTAAAAGTCATGTAAAGCGTAGAGACTAAAGCTATAACGCAACCCCAAATATCCAAGTAAAATCGTCAACATATCAGACTATCTACATTTTTGTTACATAATCACTCTTAATACAACTGCATAAAGTGTCGAATGTTATACCTTGATGTGCCATCGTCCGTACTTTCGATAAGTAGTGTTTACAACCTAATTATTGCTTTGTAAAAATTTGGTCGCTTTCATAATTTACGTTAAAGGTGTTTCAACAAACTGGTTTGTATGTATCATCACGGCAGGTCAAAATATTTATTTATGGTCGACTGACGACCAACAGGTGAGATCTCCGAACATTCGTAATTATTTACTGTTTCAAGACAATAATTATCAAAGTAAATATTAAAAAAAGAACTCTCAAATACAAAATGATACTTAACAAGCTTAGGATATAATTAAAACACAATTACAGAATACTCGGACCGATAAATTAGGGAATGGATGTTCGTTGATAACAACAGGTGATAATATGTTTACGAGTGTTCCTTGACACAGGAACTGTTATACAAATTGTCTTGAATCAAATTAAGTCTTGATATTTTAAAGAAACAAAATGAAAGATTGCTAACGTGTTTGTGTGTAACTTCGACTAATCAATGAGATTAACCACTAGTACCATGACAGACGAAAATGTGCTTTTATACGAGTTTTGTTTCTTAAACAAGGATAAAAGATATTAACTTTTGTATACTTATAAATGCAGCTAATTTTTAGTAGGTACCTACATATAATCAGGTACATGTATAATAATTCTTTATTTCTCACCATAGAACACAAATATTAACAACTAGCGGCCGCCCGCGACTTCGTACGCGTGGATCCCGTTTTACCCCCTTCATCTATCTTACGCGGTTTAGATTTTTTCATACAAATGTATTTTCCCGATAACTCCCGTTCCCGTGGGAATTTCTAAGTATACTATAACCTGCCCAGGATTATGAAGAATAATTGTACCAAGTTTCGTTAAAATCCGTAGAGTAGTTTTTGTTTCTATAAGGAACATACAGACAGACAGACAGACAGACATACAGACAAAAATTTTACTGATTGCCTTTTTGGCATCAGTATCGATCACTAATCACCCCCTGATAGTTATTTTGAAAATATATTTCATGTACAGAATTGACCTCTCTACAGATTTATTATAAGTATAGATTTATAATTGTAGGTAGTATACAAAATGCAACTATGGTGGGTTGACACCTGAACTAGGATGTATGGGCAAGAAGGTATATCTATATTCAGGTGATACAACTCCGAAACCACTGGACCGATTTAAATGTTTGGTACAGAGATAGTCTATAGTCTGGTCCGTGAGCACGAAGAATTTTGTCCAATGACCCCAAGCTACCCATCCTTATTGCTCGCGCGTAATTATGTTGCTATCGCGCACGTACACTCACTGCGGGTGCTAGTCGCACAGTCGCGACAACAATATAATTACGCGCGAGCGATAAGGATGGGTAGCTAGGGGTCATTGGACAAAATTCTACGTGCTCACGGACCGGGCTTTAGCTAGAGCCTCAGAACTGACATAGGCTACTTTTCAATGCGAGCCGGCCAAGTGCGAGTCGGACTTGCGCACCGAGGGTTCCGTACAAACCTGGTATATAACTTTGATTTTGTTCCAGCTAAAAGGTACTATAGACCTGAGTATTTGATATGCATTTCAATTTCATACCTCTACTGTTCATGAGGAAAGGAGATCTTGTTCAAACCAATTTTCAATCGAAGTTTGCATGATAATGTACATTATATATTTTTTTTAGTTATATCATTCTCTTATTTTAGAAGTTAGAGGGGGCGCCACATTTTACTTTGGAAGTGTCTCTCGCGCAAACTATTCAGTTTAGAAAAAAAAATGATATTAGAACCCTCAATATCATTTTTGGAGACCTATCCATAGATACCCCACACGTATAAGTTCGATGAAAAAAACATTTTTGAGTTTCAGTTCTAAGTATCCCCATATGGGAGTATGGTTCTAAGTACCCCCAAAATTTAGTTTTTTATTATTTTTGTGTGAAAATCTTAATGCGGTTCACAAAATACATCTAGGTAGGTACTTACCAAGTTTCAACAGTATAGCTCTTATAGTTTCGGAAAAATGTGGCTGTGACATACGGACGGACAGACAGACAGAAAGATAGACAGATAAAACAAATCTATAAGGGTCCCGTTTTTGCCATTTAGCTACGAACCCTAAAAAGGGTTGTAGGGGTCAAAATGGAGGATGAAAGGTTGTGTGAGTAGAAGTAGGTACCTATTGTCATTTTTAAAGCTGCACGTCAAGTTGAACACTGTGTAGTGTAGTTGAAATAATGACGATATTGTAACAAAAATGTAGTCTTGTGTGCCATATTCTGTACATACGCAGGAAAAACCTAAATTAAAGATGAGAATTTAAATTAAGATTGAGATGCTTATGAACCTACTTTATTAGTAAATAAAGTACTTCAGTAATAAACTGCAGTAGCAGTTTACGATCGATAGTTCGTCAATACTATTTGAAACTACTGAACCTGTTTTAGCTCTCAGAAACAGCTCTGCAAGGACACAAAAGTAGACATAATCATCATCATCAACATCCATCATTATTCGCTAGTCTAGTTAGTTAGTTATACCATTATGCCGTCTTAAATACAGCTATGCCAAACTGTGAGTATTGAAAACTATCATTTTGATCTCTTATATCAATTAGCAACTTTAAATAGCTTACCTACATTCAATATTATGGTGTATTATTTTCTTTAGTATTTAACCAAATACGCTACAATAGGTAAATAGGTACTATTGATATATCGGTAGTATGCCATTGTGTGACATCTATATCACCTTCATCACCAGCACCACCATCATTCACACTTCACGATCATCATATCACGTAAGTACTATTGTAGATTAAGATTTATTTTAATTTTCTCTGTTCACTTATACTTAAAGCCTACAGCATGCAGCAGCTAAACTTGCACTATAGTGTGCATACACAGAAAAATACTTAGACAGTGTTTGACTTGTATAATCTTTACGGAAGTAAGATAATAATAAACAGTTTAATGATTTCATTGATAAACCTAAACACTTTTTGTTTTCAAAATAATTGCATTTTTATATTTTAACTCATGAGCTAGCTGAAACCATGGCTAAAATTCTTAAAGCTGCTAGCAAATACACTTTATAAACAATTAAATAGATCTCTGTCAGTTTTTATTTTGTATAAAAACAGTTATTGGCTGCATTGATAATATTATGCATTATAGACCCAGTTACTAGTAAATTAATAATATATTTTAAAAACATACCTGAGGGCTCATGCTTCCCAGCTTATTGGATCTCAGCACATCACTCTCCGATGCCATCCTATTGAACATCTGCTTCCTTTCCTTGACTGAAATCTTCTGTTCATTATCCACCAACATACTTTCACTCCTCGACGATGACAAAGTTGGCAGCAAAGGTTCTTCAACTTCAACATTCTCCTGATTAGGTATTGATGACCGCTGTCCAATCTGCCCAATACTGGAACGTTTCTCGGTAACAACTTTGGTGTCCAATGACTTTTTACGTGGATGCACCTTTGGAGGCACATCGTCAACAGGACTAGTCAAATTCTCTTTGGACTCAGTTGGTGTTATGTCCATCGGAGTATTTCTTAATACCACTTCATTTCTGTCTTGTATGATGTTAGCTAATATGTTGAAATCCTGGTTCAGTTGCACAGGTGGTGGGGGTCGGTATGGAGGTTGAATGTTGCTTTCCATAGAAACAGACTCGTCTTGAATTGTGCTGACACTGGGTTCTTCACTTTTCTCATCTTTTGGTTCGTCTGACTTTTTACTGTCACCTGGCATATACTTTTTCTTTAATATCAACCATTTTTCATTATTCTGGTTTTTTATCACAGCAATGGTATTGACATGTTTTTTGAAAGTGTTTCTAGCTTCATCTAAAAAAAAATGAAATACATAATAAATTAAATACATCACTAATTTGCATATTTAAGAATAGAGTTTACAATATCAACCTACATGTTTGAAAAAGTTACTTGATAAATTGCAGACACTTTTAAAGAAAAAAATACAGAAATACCAGTAAAAGTAGGAGTATTAACCTATAATATGTATGTCTATCAGCATGTAGGTAACATTTAGGTAACTATTAAATAAAATCAATATTACTAAGTGAATAAGTACTATTTTGAAGTTAATGTTATGAGTTGCCTGGTTGAATATCAACCGGGTCAACAATATTAGAACAAACAACAAACTCAGAAATGTGTGGTATCTGGTTTCCTAATAATTATAAATATCCTTGTATATTTAACTTTTAACCTCAAGTTCCAAACGAAGCAAAGCTTGTATCTATGGGTACTTTACCAATAAGTATTAAACAACAGTTAAAAACATTGATTGTTAAGCTAATTATTGAACTGATACATGCAAAGTTCATAATGTATTTGAAATTATCATGTGAAACCGTGTCTTTCAACGAAATTTTAGAAACCATAACATGAAGATGTTATTGTTTGTCTTAGGTCTAGTTTGTTGAATGAAAACAAACTCATGAAATTGCTTTCAGCCTAACCTATTCAAGGTTCTACAGATAACAATAGAGAGCAAATATATTACTCACCTCTCATATCAGGGTTTTTGAGGAACACTTTGAAATGTTTCACTAACTCATGGTTTGTAACTTTGCCATTATGTGCCAACATGAACTTCAAAATCTCGTCAAAACTTAATTCAGCTGGTGGTGGAATCATTTTGGCAGGGATTTCACATGTAATTATTGGGAAAAAACTTATCCAATAATTTGTATGGAATCGCAAAGATAAACTTAGATGTCAAAATAAATTGCACTGTGCCACAAACAAGTTCCACTTTTGTGACATAAGTGACATTGACATTTACGGCGTTCCGTTACGGGGAACAGTGGAAATTAATCTTTATGGAATCAGACAATGAAAAATATAATTCTAATTAAAATCGCAGTTTGCTTATTTGTTATTTTGAATACACGTAAGTTATTATGTTTTTTTTAAATTAACTAATTATAAGGTTCTATATTGGCTCACATAAAATTCTAAATCCTATTCTTTGTCTTACTACCGATTTGTGTTCATAATAATCTCTCTTCATAATTTTATTTTTCATACTTTTTTTATTCATACATTTTTATTACTACCATCGGAGCTCATAACAGTTAGTAATCATAATTTTTTTATCAATACTGTTACTACCAAGAACCATTTAAAATACATAAATAATTTTTATTTTCAGATCTTTTTTCTTCATAACATTCATTGATCATATTGTTTTAATTAATAATGTTGTTACTAAGAACATACTTCAACTCATAATGTTGTTGTTCAGAATAATTTACTTTATAACAGACATACTCGTATCTTTAAAAAAATAATGAAGAATGTTCACTAATTTTGTTTTTTAGCTTTCTGTATTCTCTGTTAAAAATAAAAAATACACGTGAAAGAATTATTTCGATACGTTAATTAGTTTCCAAGATATTGAATTTTAAAAGTGCGGGCGGCGGCCGGCCCGCCATTTTATGCGCGTGACGTCATATTACAACGACTGGCTCATATTTGTATGGGTGGAATCTTGCAAACTGAATTAAGACCCACTTCCAGGCAACCGATTAAGCTGAAATTTCGCAAACACATGTGATTTGGATGACCATGCAATATTATGATGACATGGAGCTGATCTGATGATGGAGCTGGAAGGTGGCCATAGGAACTCTATAATAAAACGACTTAAATGCATCGAGTTTGGGCTCGTTCGTTTTGTATTGATGAGTATTTTAATTCTATATAGTAATCGGGGTCTAATAATGAAGCTGGAAGGTAATTCGCAATAAAACGACACAATCGCATCAAGTTTGGGTTTGGTTCAATTTTAATTTCTGTGATGGGTCTGGGTGTTAATATGTATAATAAGTTTGTATTTACAAAAAAAAAAATATTTAAGTATGTTTATATCCGTTTTCTAGGGAGCGGACGCTGTGAATGTACGTCACACGGGGTCACGTGACCGTCGGCGGGACTCAATATTTAAGCGAACATTGAATGCCTATAAAATCATAACTACTGGGTATTTTTGAATGAAATAAAAACTAATGTATTTGTAAATGTAAAAGCTTAACTGTAACATAGGTTTCAAGTGATTTTGCATACCTAGTAACATTCTCAATTCTCAAAAAAAATATATCCAACTACAATTTGCATTATTTTTTCCGGATGCCGACTTTTGATCTGGTGAAGCTTGAGTTGTGATAAATAAGTATTTACTTTATTTAAAAGTCCTCCTTACCTTTTACCGGGCGAGATGCACATGTTGGGGAATGGGGAGGCGAGCAAGAGCAATACTTACAGGATGTGTTTTTATTAAAGTTGATCAAATAAACAACGTTGATTGATTCTACTACTCAAATACAACTAGGTTACATTTCCTACAGAACCAATATCAAATTCTCAAAAAAAAAATCCAACTAAATATTTGATTGCATCATAATAAATTTGAATGAGGCATTTTTTATTTCGTCGTGGACCATTTTGACTTCTGTGGTACCTAATAGGTATCACTGTTATGGTTGAAAACCTAAGTTGGGATAGGTATAGTAATGTAGGATTAATCACGAAAAAGCGGATTTTCGGGTCACGGAAGTTCGGACTACCTACTATTTTATAGAGAGAGAGACTATCATAATACGAGTACTACATAATATGTTATTTAAGTAGGTACTTACTCGTACTTTTTGAACAAAAAATAATTATAGATGCGGTGGTTGTACATACATTGGTGTTTGGTGGTGGTGTATTTACTTATATCCATCTACTCGTAAATATATTGTATATACCTAACTCAAAGGTGACTGACTGACTGACTATCTATCAACGCACAGCCCAAACCACGTGACGGATCGGGCTGAAATTTGGCATGCAGGTAGATGTTATGGCGTAGGCATCCGCTAAGAAAGAATTTTACGAAACTCCACCCCTATTGGGGTAAAACGGGATCCACGCGTACGAAGTCGCGGGCGGCCGCTATACCTTGATTTTTTAGAATCCAGCAGAGATGTAAACAAACACTTTCATACACAATTACACCATAATCACTTACGTGTTCATAATATCATACACATTATTTAACAAGCCCATGAAACCAACTTTATTTTCACGTTTATACAAGTTTGAAATCAATCTTTGAAACAAATTATTTTAGCAAAATACGTGGACGATGAAAATTTGTGAGACTTGTCAAATTGACTTGACGTTTAAAATCATGTGTTATCTCCATATTGTCTATGACTTGTCGCTGACACATCAGTGCCGTAACCTGTGAGTCATAGACAATAATCTGTAAATTTAATCGATATTATTTTAAGTATTCACTTATTCCGATTACTGATTAATTTTAAATAAAAAATATACCTACGATACTTTGTTTAGTTTTCCAGCGATAACTTCGACAATATTGGAGATAACGTAAATTTATTTTTCTACTTTTAGTGTTTACTTTTTCGGAGTCAGTTTAATTTTTAGTCGGTTTTATTTAAACGAAATTATTTTACTTTTTTATGCAATTATGCTTACGTATTGTTCCATTGTTTATTTTTAAGAAAATAAACAACTTCTTTCAATGAGGGTTTTCGCGATTGAAAAATCCGCCAGATGGCAATACGTAGACGCGAGGTCCAAATGCTGCATGATTGGTTATTTTTGACATGACATTGACAGATATGTCAAAATCCACCAATCACGCAGCAAGCAACAGCAAGCAACAGAAGTTTAATAACTTTACGGATATCATTGATTGTTTTACTGTCCAGTTTGTTTTTTGATTACATCTGTGCATACAGTTTGTTTCCTGTTCTCGAAAATTTCATAATCAGTTCACATTCAATGTTGCGACTTTGTTGCATATTTTTAGTATTTTGACGATCACCCGGCGATGATACGCAAGTACTACAACATTTCACTTCGCGATTAACGAGAGGTTTTGTCGCATCACTAGTTCACAGACTAAAAATATTTTTATGTCAGTTGGCCATATTTGATGACATTTCTGCTGATTTCTAAAAAATTAGACTGTAGTCGCTCATATACCTAGTCGTTTAATATTTACATGTGCTTTTAAAGGAGATGGTAGGTACCATTATTGGAATATTAATCACGTATTTATAATTTAATCGATCACCCTATAATATACATATATGCAGATAATACCTATGCAGAATACTTATTCCTGTGGCGTATAGATAGATAGGTGCCTACCTACGGGAGAAATTCTTTAAGGTGTCCCGGGTTCGATACCCGGTCCGATCAATTTAGACAGTCAGTTCTAATTTGGATCGCGTCTGGGTGTGCTGGGAGACGGCTCGGGCAAATCGTTGTCATAGGTATTCATCCTACCTAATTCAGCGTCAAATAGTTCGGGACACCCAACAAAGTTCTTGAGTGGGCAGGAAAGTTCTTGAGTGGCGACCACGAGCTGGAAGACGTAGCGTGGGCAGGCCTCCCACTAGGTGGACCGACGATCTGGTGAAGGTCGCGGGAAGTACCTGGATGCAAGCGGCGCAGGACCCGGTCTTTGTGGAAATCCTTGGGGGAGGCCTTTGTCCAGCCTTTGACGTCTTTCGGCTGAAACGAACGAACGAACCCAACAAAGTAGCCAAAAAGTTCGCAACACGTCTTTGTTACAATTGAATTAATAGGTTGTTTGTCAACTTTTTGGCCACTTTGGGTGTCACGGACTATTTGACGCTGACTGTACGACTGCTTCAGTTTATGAATATTATGTGCTTGTGAAACTTTATAAAACGTGTAAATAAGTTATATTCAAACTATATTTTATTATTTTCCTGTTTTTGCAACTTTTTTCAATGATGATCTTAGCGTGGTTTTGTAGCCTTCCACAATATAACTATAACTTGTACTAATGAACTAAGTAAGTAGGTATCCAACGCAAAATTTATTTTTTCAATTCGAATCAATAGTTCTTTCTTGAGACTAGCGAGTACAACTAAAAAGAGAAACAAACAAAATCTTTAGTTTTATTTGTATAATCTTAGGAACCTAATAAATGAATTATAAACTTTGTCAAAAACCATAAAATAAAACACTGTGTCCATAATTGCTTTACAACTTTCACGTAAAGTTTGCGATGAAAAGTGTGGTTTTAATTATTATTTATACTTAGTTATTTACACGACGACTACAGTGACCTTTTCGAATATTGTGGTTACCGAAGCTTGTACAAAGGACTTAACCAATTATTTAACTAAACATGATCAGTGTTAACATAATAAGCTGCCTACTTAAATACTTACAACGAATTATAAGGGACTTGTCAACGTTAGTGTAAGTAAAACTGGGAGCAGGAATAACAATATTTGAACAGTGTTTTAGCCTTAATTACTCGATATTATACAATTAATTAACAGGTTAAAATGTCTTACGGTAAATAAATAAGAAAATACACCTACCTACTAGATGGAGGACTTAGTGAGAGACATTACACTACTTACTTAGTACTTATTAGTAGGTGGTATTAGTTTTAGCTTTTAACGAACGATGCTAGAAGGCACTAAATCTTTGATTGACTCTATTCTTTACAAGTAAGTACTTACAAGACCATTGTGTAATAGGTAGGCACATAGCAGACATATTATAGTAGTAAGTAGGCCTCTGAGACAAGAAAGTTCAAAATCTAGCTATGCAACTTGGGTGCTCTGTAAGAACTGATGCTGAAAGAATAGGCTAGTTTCCTTAAAAAATTTTTTTAGTCCGTCAATTTTAATATAAAAAAATATTGGACACGTATATTTTTAACTGTTAATCAAACATAAT